TCCAAGTGACTGCACGTTACTTGATATGTCGACTCTGAGGATTCCGATACTGGCTGAGGCAAGAACGGGAGTGCCTTGAAACTGAGGAGATACGACAAAAGTGTTCTTTTTAGCGGTAAATGCGCAAACTTGTGTCGTCTGAGTATTAAACTGGACTAAATTTAGTCGCCCCCAATCCGAGACTTTGTTCAGCAAAGACTCGACTTCAGACACAAGTTTGTTCCGGTACTCAGCGACGTTTTCCCGAGAAATATTGGCACGGCCGGTGTATAAAGCATCACCAGTGCTGTCATCCGCATAGCAATGAATGTTACCAGTTAGCAACATATCATTGATATGCAGAAGAAAGAGCGTTGGTGATAGCACACAGCCTTGTGAAACACCAGCGTTAATAGGCTTGTAGTCGGAGCATGCACCGTCTACAACGACCTTGATGCTTCGATCTGCAAGGAAGCTGGTGATCCAATTGCACAATTTCTCGGGAAGCCCATAGGAAGGGAGCTTCGAAAGAAGCGCTTTGTGCCAAACCCGATCGAAGGCCTTCGCAATGTCCAAACTAACGGCCAACGCCTCCCCCTTAGACTCTACTGCCTCCGCCCATCTATGGGTCAGGTAGACCAGAAGATCACCAGCTGATCGACCCCCACGATAACCGTATTGGCGGTCACTAATTAGCTGGTGATTCTCAAGGTACCGCATGAGCTGGCAGTTAATAATGGACTCCATTACTTTGGAGAACAAGGAGGTGATGGCGATAGGCCTATAGTTGGACGGGTCTGAGCGGTCGCCTTTTTTAGGGATCGGGTGGACAAAAGCTGTCTTCCATGAATTCGGGCTACACCTTGGGAGTAGGAGTACCGGAAAAGACGCGTTAGGACTGGTGCCAACTCCGGAGCACACGTCCTCAGCACAATTGGGGGGATTCCGTCAGGCCCACTCGACTTCTGGATGTCCAGGGAGAGGAGTGCTTAGCGAACCGAGCGCTGTGAGAACAGCACATCCGGCATGGAGCACTCACACCGCTGGATGGTCGGCGGTGTTTTCCCCCGTCATCAAGAGTCGAATTGGACGCAAAAATGGAGCCTAAAAGGTCGGCTTTGTCTTTTGCGGCTTGGGCAAGTGAGTCGTCCTCCCTATGCAGAGATGGTAGTGATGGCTTACAGAAATTCCCTTGGACAGCCTCGGCGAGAGACCAGAATGCACGGGTTCCCGAAGGAAGGCGAAATAGTTTCTCGTCAATTCTGCCTATGTGCTATGACTTTGCCTTGGCATTAACTCTTTTGAAGGACCTGGAGGCGAATTTATAATTCTTTTTAAGTGTGCAGGTGTTTACATCCTGAGTCGACGAAGCCGCAGCCCAGGCTTGATAACACTCCTGCTTACTGCGTAATGCAGTCTTACAGGAGCGACCAAACCAAGGCTGAGATCTGCCTCCGATGGGTACCACAGATGATGTGATAAATAGTTCCATTCCCTGTAGCACCACATCAGTGACAGAGTCAGCAACAGCGCTGGGATCATCCGGCGAGAAGCAAATCCGCCCCCATGGGTAGGATGCAAAGAAAGACCGCATTCCGTCCCAATCCGCCGACCTGTAATGCCAAACACGGCGGCAACCTGCAGAACGCAACCGCGAGGGGAGCGTGAGTGGCACCACACTCCGGATCAGACAATGGTCCGAAGAGCCGAGAGGGGCATCGACGGAAACCTCATATCCGTCTGGATGAGAGGTCAGCAGAAGGTCCAACAGGGAAGGTGTATGATCCTCCACATCTGGAATCCGCGTAGGCGAAGTAACCAGTTGTGTCAGACCATATGCCAAGGCAAAGTCATAAACAGATCTCCCCGCATGATCGGTTAAACGTAAACCGAGCCATTCGGCGTGGTGGGCGTTAAAATTGCCAAGGATCACGATCTCTGCGGATGGGACCTGTTGTAGCAAGGAATCTGTACCCATTTGGACGTGGTCAATGAGTCGGTCTGTTTCGGCATTACCGCTATGGGACCTATAGAGCCATCCGTAGACGCGCGGATGGTCGTCGCTGTCTACGCGTAGCCAAAGGATGGACAGGTCCGAACCTTCAAGACTGCCGAGGCGTCGAGAACAGATGTCCTCTCTGACATACATGCAAACTCCAGCCCGAGGTACAGGGGAGTGCTCCAATTTGTACCCCGGGTAGGAGAGATACGAAGTATCAGCCGGAGAGGACACCTGCCTCTCGGTCAAAAAGAGCAAGGCAAGGAGCAAGATGGTAGTGGACGGCGTGTAGGTTCGAGTGAAGTCCCCTGATGTTGTAGAAATTCAAGGATAGCGTGGCAGAGGTCGCCTTGGTATTGTTGCTTAGTTTGCCCCGAGCAGTTATGTTTTCGAGCCGAATTTGCCTCCCCCCCCCCCAGAATACGCTAGGCAGCCTGAGCACCCACGCTCAGGAGTGGATTAACATGGTCGTGGATGCTCTATGTTTGTGCCACACAAAGAGTATAGTAACTGATAGCACAGTGTATAAATCCATACAGTCGTCCGAGGAAGACGTCTAGACAGGGCAATCGTGCGGGGTGTGAGGGGTGAGACGCGGGAAGGACGAACCCGAGCTGCTCATGCCAATCGTATTTGTAGCTCGGGATACGACTTCCAGGGTTAACGCGCGTTTGCTTTTACAATTTTTAAATTTAGTTTTGATACTTATAATTAAAATAGTTCATACGACGTGTGCTGTGAGAGATTGCAAGTCGTCATCTGCGATTTCACCAAATCCCGCACACGGAAGAAAGGTAAATAAATATTGTTATTATTTTTACATTATGTGTATTTTGTCATGTCATACCAAATTGCCAACGTAAAAAAAAGTGCGGACGTAAAAAATAGGTACTAGTCACTGGGCATTACTGTTTCGATGTTTAATTTTTTCCTTCATCTAAATCGTGTGGTTGGATAGGCTAAGGTTTTAGACCATACTATAGTGCCTCGTCTTCGGTCTTTCGAAGGTTCTTATAAAATATTAAGATTTAGGGGTCAATTTTTATTTTTGTCGGGGTGCTAATTACGATAATAGCATTTATTTTTAAATCCAAGATGGCGGTCATTTTTTAATATATGTATGATATCGATGTCAATTTCAAGGTTTATTGGGGTGCCAATTACGAAAACGGCATCAATTTTCATATCCAAGATGGTAATTTTTTTTAGTAATACAATATGGTTGTCAATTTTAAGGTTTCTGGGGGTGATAATTATGAAAATTTATTAATAACTATTGTATTTAAAAATTTCACATCCAAATTACGGATGGAAGTTATTAGAAGACCTGATTTAGTTGGAAGAACTTTCGAAAGCCTAAAGAATCAATTATAAAATAAACCAATAATTCAATATCTGTAGTCATTGTAACGTTAATAATAATATGGATTTGATGTCTAGCTGAGAGTATAAGAACGATTTTATGTAGCAAAATTGAGGTATAGCCACATATCGAGAGTAGAGCACTCCCTCACGGTGTGAGGCGTGCAATTAACATTTTGAGTACTTTTAGGAAAAATCTAAAAACAAATTGTTACTCATTTTTATATTAGTTATCATACTGTTGATGACTATGTAGATATAAAATAAATAATTAAATTAGTAGTTGTCGGCATTTCCCACGAGATCAGAGGAGTTGTCCTACTGTATGTTTATTATACTGTGCTGATAGTAACTGTCCTATACAGGAAGTGCCACAGTAGGACAATTACTTTTTTAGGAGTTTATGGCCTGGTATCTAGACCTTTAGGCCAAGTAGGACAATTACTATACTCTTTGGCCACAGAGTACATTTCATATACTGGACTTTTGGCGGGAAAAAAACAGCGGCGGTTTGCTGCTCCTGTATTATTGTTTTAATAATGGTTTGAAGTGGATTTTTATATGTAAAAGTGGTGCGATTTTGTGTATTAAGTGTTTGCGCATGTGAACTATTAGTGGAAACAGTGAAACAAGTGCTCCGATACCGATAGTGATGTGATTATCAAGATAAGGTGTCTATCTGCTGGCTCAAGTTGCTGTCGAAATCTCCCAAAAGCTGCACAATGTGACGCATCAACATATTGTGATGCACTGTACTATGAAGGATAATTATACATTGTAGTTTCCGGCTCAGAAAGGCTAGAACCCAGAGCTGTAAAGCCAATTTAAAAAAAAATTACATATAGTGATTGAAACTAGAGATGTGCCAACTCGGAAAAATCACGACTCGAGTTAACTCGAGTTGAAATTCACGGAACTCGAGTTAACACTACGAAACAGAGTAAATGATTTGTTATAAATTACTTTTTTATAAATTTATTTTTCTGTCTAGTCTTTGGTGGGTTGGGATAGCTATTCTAGCTTACCAAAATTATTATGTAGGATTGAAATAAAAAGGTATATTTAGTATATATAACTTCACCTAACAATATTAGTCCAGCTTTAATATGTAGGTACATAAGCTATTAATAATTTAATTATCACAGTCAAAATATTCTTAAATAAATTCAAATTCTAAATACTCTTTGAAACACAAAGCACGCACACAAATAACGAATCGCGCTCTTACTTTTTTGCTGACTCACTTGATCCCTTCATGTACAGCAGCCCAAACTCGAGTTAGGGAGATTCAACTCGAGATAGTAACTCGAGTTATTAACTCGAGTTGACGCATCACTATTCACTAAATGAAACTATAAAATAATTCTGTAGTCTCGGAGCGCCGTTATTTGATGTTTCGTGGTGGTGTAGGTGCATATATTACGCGGTCCGCGCTGCCTCCCATATATATATTTATTATATTATATTAGTAGAATATTAGTATTGAGAATTATTAGCGTGTCTTAAAATAAACTATAATTATCATTATCCACCAAAAAGTACTGAAACAATAAGAAAGAACGACCAATTGTGCTTTCAAAAGTGTGATATATAAACTTAATTTAGTGTATAATAGAATAAATTCGCTGTTTAAAAGTAATTTTTCAATTAAAGCATCAACATGGTTATTGAGAAAATATGTTGTCTTGGCGCGGGCTACGTGGGGGGCCCTACTTGCAGTGTCATCGCTTTAAAATGCCCTAATATTAAGGTCACTGTATGCGACAAAAGCGTGGAACGCATCAATCAGTGGAACTCGGACAAATTGCCAATATATGAGCCTGGTTTGGACGATGTGGTGAAACAATGTCGTGGTAAAAACCTTTTCTTTTCTACCGACATCGCAAAAAGCATTCAAGAAGCCGATTTAATTTTCATATCTGTGAATACTCCTACGAAAACTTTTGGCAACGGTAAAGGCAGGGCGGCTGATCTAAAGTACATAGAAGGTGCAGCAAGAATGATAGCGGATTTGGCTACGAGCAACAAAATTGTTGTCGAAAAGAGCACAGTGCCAGTGAAAGCAGCCGAAATTATCATGAAAATCCTCCGAGCAAATACCAAACCTGGAGTAGAGTATCAGATCCTCTCTAATCCTGAATTTTTGGCCGAAGGCACTGCTATAGTGGATTTAGTTGAAGCAGAAAGGGTCTTGATTGGAGGAGAAGACACGCCCGAGGGTCAGAGAGCAGTTCAGGAGCTCTGTTGGGTCTATGAACATTGGATCCCAGCTAAAAACATTCTTACTACTAATACATGGAGTTCAGAGTTATCCAAGCTAGCTGCAAATGCATTTCTGGCTCAAAGAATATCAAGTATTAACTCCTTATCAGCTGTGTGTGAAGCCACTGGTGCTGATGTGTCAGAAGTAGCTCGTGCAATTGGAAGGGACTCTAGAATTGGTCCAAAATTCCTAGAAGCCTCAATCGGTTTTGGTGGCAGCTGTTTCCAAAAAGACATTCTAAACTTAATCTATCTTTGTGAATGCCTGAATCTGCCTGAAGTTGCGGCATATTGGCAGCAAGTAGTTAGTCTAAACGACTACCAAAAGACCCGTTTCACACGTAAAGTTATAGAATCTTTATTTAATACTGTCTCAGATAAAAAGATTGCCATACTTGGTTTTTCATTCAAAAAAAATACTGGAGACACTCGGGAATCCCCTGCAATATTTGTTTGTAAAACCTTACTAGATGAAGGAGCAAAGTTGCACATATATGATCCAAAAGTAGAAACAGAGCAGATATTCTTTGAATTGACAACACCATATGTCACTTCAGAACCGGAAGTGGTACGTAAAAATGTTGAGATTCATGACACAGCTTACTCGGCAGTGTCTGGGGCGCATGCTTTAGTTTTGTGCACGGAATGGGATGAATTTAAAGAGCTGGATTACAAAAAAATATATGAAGTAATGATGAAGCCAGCTTATATATTTGATGGAAGAAAGATATTGGATCACGAGGCATTGCTGAATATGGGTTTCCATGTGCAGACCATTGGCAAGAGATTATCAAGGACCGGCAGCATCAGGGCGCAGGGGAGCCAGACATTGCCATAGGATATATTATGTAAGTGATAACTAACACACACACACTCTTAAATGCTTGTTACTTACTTTAATAACTTATTTTTCTACACAATAAAAGCTACAAATAACCATACAGTCCTCCTGATAATAAGTGTTCTTGTTGGTCTTTCCCAGGACAGGGGTTATTTTTCCAAACCAGTGGTAAAGCTTAAATTACTTACAACACATATTCTTGTAATCTTATTGAATAAAAATTATTCTATTATATTCTTTTTTGACTCATAGAAATCTGCATCTATCCTCGATTAAGAATCAAAATGTAGAAGCGTTGTCACCCCTGAGGACTAAGATGGAATGCCTCAATTCCATTAAAAAGGGTCGCCGGTTTTCTACACTCACCATACAAAACAGAGGCATTAAGCTGCTATTTTATGCTGGTTATCTGTGAGAGTGTAGTGCTTCCATAGTTGAGCCGACCTATTCATACATACCACATCATTATTAACTTGTGATGTTCTATTGTGGAATTTTTTCTTGTCAGTATACAACTGGACATGGGATTCTCAATGCTTGTTACATATGGAGGTAGTTTAAATACATAAATTTCACAAGAACAAATATCCAGACCTGAATTTTTTTTTGTAGGCCATACAAGTACTTGTTCTGTGTGAGATTTCAACCCTTGGCTCTCAACGGCGCAAAATATTGCTAAGCCACTGGCCACAGAGTCGTTTTAACTGTCACATGTTGTAGTGCTAGACAATTTACAACACTGACATTGCTTCCTCTTAACCCTTTATAGGACGGCTCATACAAAGTGGCCAGTAAACTGGACAGTCACTTGAAGGTCGTTATCTCATAGATTTTTATGTAAATATTGAATCTTATCAACATTTACGACTCATGTTAGAGCACACTGGCCCGTAGACAGACCAGTTTTCAAGTTCGTCACGTACAATCACAGATTCGCGCCTTTTTTCAAGATGGCCTGTCTACTGGCCACCGTGCACCCGCGCATGAATATGCATGAATATTTGATGTCATCGCGTGTGTATGTTACGTGTTTACAAGTGTTATGGCAATAAAAAAACTTGTCTTCTTGGAAAAAGTAAGTGAAACTATTATTTTATAGTATATACTTTGATGTTATGTGCAAATGTAATCGATGATAGTAAGAAAAACATGTATTTTAGGCAATTGAATACAAACAGGTCTGTTGAAAAAATATACCCTAAAAATTGCCTACCTAACTTTGAGCTGTTGTATTGAGTATTTATTTTCGAGTAATACGTTTGAACCATATCGTTTTATAACAAGTATATAACCATTTCTTATAATAAAATAAGAAATTTACCATAACCAAACTTGCTTGGTAGTTATAACGTATTATTATGAGCGTTTTGGTTTTTTTTTTCTCCATGTTTTTTGCAGGTATGCAGGTACTTACGAAAATCGTTATATAATAGTTTTGCATTGTAATTTCCACATTGTTTTAGACACATATACACTTAGTGGAAGTTGGAGTAACTAGATGAAGACTGATAGAATGTCGTAGGTATAACAGATGACCAGGCCAATCGGACGTCAGTGGTAATTCAGATGCTGATGATTGTTTCGACAACAACAGTGTTACTTTGATACCAGCATTCTGAGCACAGATAGTCGAAGTGACGGATCAGGTCCTGGAACATCGTCTTCATCACCACCACCACAGAAGTTTTTGTTTCCGCCACCATCATCTATACCATCATTGCCACCTCCACAACCGCCGCTATCTCCACCACCACCGCCGCTATCTCCACCACCACCGCCGCTATCACCGCACCCGGCAAGGTATTACGAGTTAATTTCTCCCGAAGACGCAGGTCTTCAAGAGAATTTAGTAAAAGGAAATCTAAATAAGTGGAGTAATAAAAACTTCGAGATCCACCAATGTAGAGGAATAGTAACTTGAATAATACTAATATTCTATCTATACTAATACTTCGTACAAACCGAATTTGATCTAAATTCACAGGAGATACGATACCTTGCCTTCCTTTTCGAGAAAATGAACAGAGCGATCATAAGCTTATAAAATCTAAGAAAAAATTGTGTAGATGTAGATACTGCAGTACCACGTCTAATCCAAAGAGAAGTGTCTATGAATGCGTTCAATGTGATGTAGCCATATGTGTAGAATGCTTTGTACCATTCCGTACTGAAGGGCAAATTAAAAACCGAAGGTGATCATTCAATTGATAATATCTATAACTATGTAGGACCGTGATAAGAAAAATTAAAATATTATTTTTTAGAAGAAAAATGTTATGTTAATTATATTTGTAATTGATGACTTATTGTTCTATGTGAAGTATAATAAGTTTTATTATTAAATGCTGACTAGGAAATTCATAACTGAAGTCTTTTTTTTTTATATCCCTTTACAAAAATAATATAGATTTCGTTAGTGTCCACTTTACTGGCCAGTGATTTTGCAGTGATGATTAGTGATGCAGAACGTTCAGTGACCAGTTTATTGGCCACATGATTTTTGGGATTTTCTCGAAAAACAATGATTTTCAGGTTTTTTTTCTGAAACTTGTCATTATGATTTACGGCACGGAATATATATGTATCACAAAATATTAGAAATTCAAAAAAAAGTTAGGGTGTGCGTTAAAGGGTTAAGGGCCGTCCATTTACCTTGTGAGGCTCGAAAGGGTGGAGGGGGTTTGTCAAAAATCATGAACTATCACAAGTGGGAGGGTACACCCAGTAACATATCACGTGTATTTCTTTTTTCGTCAAACTTTTGATCTTCAACAAAGCACAGTGCCAACAACTGACTTGCAAGATGCTTATCAAGTTGTTAGTGTTGAAGAAAGTCTTGATAATCCGTGGTCCAAGGACAGTGTAGTACAATGGCTCCACTGAAAATCAGCGTTACGAATTGATGTAATTATATCTTCAATTCGTGACTTAAAGCTGAGTGGAGACCATTTTGATGCATATATTACGTTTAACTTATTATATTTTTTTTAAATATTTTTGTTAAGTTAAAAATTGTTCTATTTGATTATTTTCTTTGTTGTTATAATTTATGTACCAAATAAACTTATTTCTTTCTTTCTTTTCTTACTGGTACAATATATGTTTTTGGCAGAATTACACCATTCCTTTAATATTATTTTTATGCCAGTCAATAACAACCTGCAACCTTTCTGTCTAGACATTTTTATCATGGTCCTTAATTTCAGAATAAAATTAGATTATACTTTATAGATGTATTTAAAGTTAATATTCTAAAAATTTTAAGATTCTTTGTAGATACTAAAAAATACACGTGTATTTTGGGGGAGGAGGGGGTTAGTCGTAAACGTCATCATGTATCACCAAGGTTAAAGATGGACGGCCCCTTGCCAGTCTGGATAGTTTAAGCCTGCATAAACATCCTGTTGGAAGCTGAAGACCTTATATTCCATTATCACCATTGCTGTAGATTTAGTTGGTTTACTAAAATGACATTTGACGAATTGGATTATTCCATTTATCCACCCTAAAAAATCCGCCATGAGATGCACCACTAACACAGTTACCTTATTGCACTAATAATAAAGAATATATTTAACTTATTTATTTTGACCTTAGGGTGGATAAACAGAATAACCCGACAAATTAAATTTATTTTCTGTTATACGTACCTACAATGAATAAATAAATATATTTCATTACATTTTGAATTTTACAGTTGTATGAAATTTTATACTAGTATAATTTTTAAACATTTAATTATAGAATAGAATAATATTGAAAGTAATTTAAGTTTTACAACTGGTTTGAAAAAGTAACTGGTCTGGAAAGAGCCTAGCAGCACTTTTTTAAATAATAATTTACAATATAATATATTATACAATTAAGTATGAAAGAAATAAAAGAAAAACAGCATGGAAGCGACCACCTCATTCCGAGGTGTTATTATCAATTGTATAATCTTAAAACCCTTACTAAACAATTTTTCCAATAAATATTTTAAATCTTTTCTGCATATTTTCTGGGACATATTTGTAAAAGCGTATACATTACTCCATGAAAGAATTACTGACTCTTTGGAGTCTAGTAACTGGTATAACTAGTTTGTGCTTGTTTCTAATATTTACAGTGAGTAATGTGTCTCTCATACTGTAGGATACTAGTTTGGTTTCTTTATTATGTACTACTCTTATTGTTTGCACTTGTGTGCCCTGTAAATATTTAAGACAACTTCAAACTACATAAGAAATTGATCATGATTTTATTGAATTTATTTAAAAATAAATTTAATAATTCGAATAAAAAATACGGTTAAATGTGTCACTATTTATTTACATTTAAAATATTGCAAGGTATTATTTAAGAATGTAATAAATTTTGCATGGTCATTAATCATTATTTTTACGACATAATTATATTTACGACATGCATAACTTTTTTTTCCAAACTCTGTATCCACTAATATTTTGTTTATATTTCATTGGCATTTGATCCAGTAATTTTTTGGTACCTACTTGAAATGTTATGCAAAATATATTGTACTTAGTATGCCCACAAGGTAGGACATAGTTGATTGTTCTTATATGTGCTACATATTTTCGTATGTAGCTAAATGTCTATGTAATACCAATGATCCACGAAATTATTTAGATTCTGATGTTTCAAACTAAACAGAAATAATACTTGTGAATACTGTCAAAAGAGTTATACATAAAAGATTTTTAATGAAACAGAAACAGAAACTCTTTTGTTTAGTTACCACTGGTTTGAAAAAAAAAAAAAACCTCTGTCCTGGGAGGAACCAGCAAGAAACCCAGCGGGACTTTTTTTTAAATAACAGCTTACAATGATGTATGTTACACAATTAACCACACAAAACAAATTAGAAATAGCTTGGTAGCAATCACCTTGTACTACTAACATTCAGCCTATTTCATAAGGGTGACTAAAAAGCACTCACTGCCACTGATGGTAAGTGGATGCTGTGAATCACAGACACCTACATCTTTCCTTGATAT